GTCTCCGCTGAACGTGGGCGCTGTGTACTTCACGCTTTGGTATCCCACGCTCGCACTACCGAAGACAGCAGCACCACTTCCCAGGGCGCTGCTGAAACAAGCTTGATTGTGAGCAGCGGCTACTCTCACCTCTTGGGGGTCTGAACCCCCTACTTCGCCGCTGTGTCGTCCCGAAGGACCAGACTCTCTTCGCAGGTCCGCTGCCTACGCGCTCCCGTCGTACTGCACGGTCCCAAAATGACCTGCAGTGCTTGTGGCGACGCTCTCCACGGCGCCGCCGCTTTCAGCGGCGCCCTCCGTGGCACCGCCGGACTTCTCCTCTATACGTGCAGCAAGTCCTCCGACCAGCTGCACCAGCTGGCCCATTTGCTGTGTCAGCGAACTGATCTCAGACCGCATGCTGTCGATCTGCTCGCTGCTATTGGTGTCTCCTGCCTGCGAGCCGTCCGGAGTGGTCCCTCCGGTTCTGCGGCCCGCCATCCCTAATGGACTCCCTCGAGGGAATAAACACTAGTGTGTTGGTATGTCCGTACTTGGGAGGAGAAGACACGCTTTAACGCTCTCTCTGATTAGGCACCCGCGGGAGCGAGGAAAGGAAGGGAAGAGGTGGCCCTCCCGAATTCGGGGAAGGGGCCCACACATTGTAACCTTTTTCAGGCATACGCATGCTCCTGTCTACGTACCCCCCCGTGCTGCTAGCAGATCTACCATGCTCGTATCCAGACACACGAACACTGAAAGGAGTCTCCAAGGAACGACTTCTTCAGATCGTTTTGGTGGCTACACAGGTGGCCATATCTTGGCGAGTGCAGAGGTACAAGCTCGCATTGCGCGGGCGTCGAGACGCCGAAAACAGGCGAACACGATCGACCTCGAACCAATCAACGCCAATGATATGGGGATGGAGTGTAGACGCATCGTAGAACGCGTTTTCGTTTGAAGTTGGCGTCTTGTTTGAGAGTAGATGTGACAGATTTGCGTAGAATAGGGTAAGATGTTATCATGAACGGAGAAGAAAGGGCTTTCCCAACACGGAGATGTAGCATGAATCAAAGCATTTGTTGGATTTCAGCTTTGACAAGAGGACATCGACGCAGTAGTATTTTAGCAAGCTTACGAACGCATGTAGGATACCATGAGGATTGTCATTGGTTTTATTTCAAGTTGAAGAGGAGATATTTTTACGATGTAAGTGACAGTAGATATCCTACATATGTTGTTGTACTTCGTATTGGTTAAATATTCATGTAGAGTATGAGACATTGAGTGAAAGTTTTCTGAGGTACATCTGCAATTGTCGGAAGGCAAAAAAAAAGAAAGAAAAACACATCTACATTTCTCTTTCCGAAGCTCGCTCGGGCCTACCGATCTCATAGCAGTGTAACCTCTGTGATAGAAGACTACAAAGTCTACGAGCTACAACAGCACCGCGGTGACAGCAGTGTAACCTCTATGGTAGACTGCAAAGTCTACGAGCTACAGCAGCACCGCCACCTCCGCTGCTGCTGCAGAACGCCACATTTTGTGAGGTTATGAGCCTCGCTNTATCCTACATATGTTGTTGTACTTCGTATTGGTTAAATATTCATGTAGAGTATGAGACATTGAGTGAAAGTTTTCTGAGGTACATCTGCAATTGTCGGAAGGCAAAAAAAAGGAAAGAAAAACACATCTACATTTCTCTTTCCGAAGCTCGCTCGGGCCTACCGATCTCATAGCAGTGTAACCTCTGTGATAGAAGACTACAAAGTCTACGAGCTACAACAGCACCGCGGTGACAGCAGTGTAACCTCTATGGTAGACTGCAAAGTCTACGAGCTACAGCAGCACCGCCACCTCCGCTGCTGCTGCAGAACGCCACATTTTGTGAGGTTATGAGCCTCGCTTTACGCGATCACTGGGAGCTGCGGATATCGCGACAGAGGTCAAGACATCCAACGGTGGACTACAACATCCGTTTGTGGGCTTCGAGCGGCAATCTGGATTCGGAGATTTGGGAGATTATCAAAGGTCAGCGGAAACGAAAGTGAGCGCGCTACTTGGTCATCTACACCAAGGGGCCGAGAGTTCACTATACACACACGTTTCCACTGCTGCAACAATAGTGGGTACCTCTGTGGTGAACAAACAGCAAAGTGTTGCGCGGGGAGCCTCGATTTAGACATCGAGCAAATACTTCTGCGGCAGAGACAGGAGGGAAGACTGTATCAACAGCGAAAGTCGACCGGGAACCGTAGTCCTATCCACCGATTCTCTATCTAAGTGAGGAAAGGGTATCAGGAGCGGGGTCGCGAATTGGCCTACAACCGGAGTTCTATTCACCAATTCTCTATCTAAGTCAGAAATGGGTTTCAGAAGCGGGGTCACGAATCGGCAACCGGAGTCCTCTGTATCAATAGAAGCAGCAGGGCTGGAAGAATCTCAGACAGATAGCTGAGTAATACACCACCAAAAATATTCAAGACGAGATCATCAGGATAAAACCAGAAATGGAAGCAAATTCGCCATGGCTACCAAGACATCTGGCCCCATCTGCTTCGAGTGCAACGAACCGGGACATGTCAGGAGGAACTGTCCCAATCTCCAGCGGAAGGGCCATATGGCAAGGAAGACGAAGCCTGCGGGAGCAACCAAGTGGTGCTCCGTCCATAACACCACTACACACTCCGACGAAGAGTGTTACAACCAAGGAGCCAAGCGACCAGAACGCACGGGCAAGGCCTTTTCTGCATGCACACACTGCGTGCACTGCTCAACCCAGTCAAGAGA